AAAATCCCCCTTGTTCCTGGGAAAGAGCCGTATTGATCGGAACCCGGACCGTATAGCCGTTCTCTCTGAAATCGAGGCCAGCCTCGAAGATTACGGTACGCCCAGAGTCGGGCCAGCGCCCGGAGAACAATTGTTGACAAAGATCAGACCAGTTTGTCGAAAGAACCCACAAGAGTCTCGGTTATGACAAGGCTTCGCGACGAGAAGCGACGAGCCTGCAGAACTGGCTGGGTAATAACCGTTCTCTCGCAAGAGAGGAAACAGCATATCTCTCACATAGTAACGAACTGTTTGCCGTCTCCTTGACAAAAGACAGCGCCATGCTCCGCTTCGAATCATGGGTCGAGGACAATCTGATCCGCCTGAGTCGTCGTTGGCGCAGTGTATGAGAATATGTCAACCGCCTGCGCACCTGAAAGAAGCTGACCCATCATCAGAGCAATTTCCACGTCGTTTCGACTGATATGGATGTCTTCATATACTCTGGTCCCTGGATCAAACGCATTGCCAAGGGTCTGATGCTGTTTCTGACCACACTTCTCCTACTGATGCCTATTGTCATCTGCAATGTCGTCAAAAGCACAACGAGCCGCATCGTGGTTGTCATGATATCGACAATTTCATATCTCCTTGTGCTCTCGGGACTGACCCAGTCAAAGACGATAGAGCTAATAGTCGCGGGGACAACGTGAGTATGGCCCTATTAGTTTGCTTCTTCCTAATGCTCAGGTGAGGTTAATGACCAGTCAAAGATATGCCACTGTTCTAATAGTTTTTGTCTCGGGCACTGGCGGGGGTGGTAGTTGACAGACACACGAGGTGCATATTCGATGCCAGCCTACTTCCAGCATTTCTCCAAGAACTTTGCCGCTACAGAATGATATATCCGGTTGCAAATGGTGAGTTGTACCAATTCTGGATGCAAATCCATCGAGGGAACACAGGCAGATTAGTTCTGAGTCAAAGACTCTTACTATAATCATCGCCAATGTCAGTGTGTCAGGAAGGGGTGCAAAGAGAACCCTCGCCTGTGTGGGATCTGGATCGCGATATAATGAGCTTTCGCGGACCTGAGGATGGGAGCCTCTGATGGATTGGGTACATATTTCTTCTGCATTTGGCTTCAGCCAATCAATACATATTTCCAAATCACAACCGGCACACGTAAACTCCAAGTATAAATGAAGATTCCACTCAGGGAGATGAGAGGGGAGCGGCTGAGGATCTCACGCTCAACTGATTGAGCTATGTGGGCTCAATCTATTGGTGTTGTCGACTTGGTGTTCGCTCCAGGGGCAGAGCTGAGCTAATGCGTGACAGCGCGCACGTGATCACCACTGTGTGCCAAGCCGCCCCACTCGTCCTTCATCCATCCACCAGCCTCGTCATCGTGAGCCTGGGCTGCCCTCAACATCCGTACCTACGTCAGGCGCCTGCTTCGCTCGACGACAACCTCTAATATCACATTCCGCCTCTCTCGCCCTCGAACATCGCCAACTCTATCCAATCCCCCTTAGCGACCGAATAATTCGATTCAAAACCCCGAACCGACACCATGGAAGAGGAGCGCCTCTGGAAGTTCAGACGCCCTGAGTGGCTTAATAGCATCTGGGCTCGCAACGCCGGTATCTACGGCGCCGGTGGTCTGGTACGTGCTGACCCTCAGATTTCATACTGGGCGATGTTTTCCATCGACCAGCCAGCTGTGCCTCGTTCGAAAGCGCCAGCGTCCCAGCGTCGCAATGTGTCCCCTCGCCCTTGCGCACCTTGCTAACCTGTCCCTCCCGCAGTTCTCCATTGCCTTCTACGTCATGCTCGACTCGGCCGTCTGGTCTAAATCCCCCAAAAATGGTTCCGACATCCACGTCAATTTTGTTGACTGGCTGCCCTTCATCTTCTCCAGCTTGGGCATGCTGATCATCAACTCGGTCGAGAAGCAGCGCCTCAGTGCCGACTCTTTCAGCTATAGCGGATCTGGCGTCGCGTGGAAGGCTCGCGTAGTGCTCTTCCTGGGGTTTGCTGCGCTCGCCGGCGGCATGGCAGGAGGCGTGACTGTCTTTGTTCTCAAATTCGTTGTCAATAGTGTGGCTATGCCTGCTCTGGGCATGGGTATTGAGAATGTTGTGAGCAATGCCTTGGTTGGTCTTAGGTACGTCCGAAGCGCATCATCTCTCAATCGTCCGTACCACATGGCTAACCCATCTCAGCTCCGTTGTTCTCTGGGTCAGTCAAAACATGGAGGACGAGTACTCGTACAACCTCTCTCTGTAGGCACCATAAGGTTGTTCGACGCGGAAATTGACACTGAGTTGCTTCTCAACTCGTCGCGTAGTACAATGCGTGTCACATTGCCGTTTGTACAATATGGTCAGACTAAGTCAAGGAATTAAGGCGTCAACTGAGCCACCAAGGCCCCGCCAAGTTGTTCAGCAATGACTATCAGATTCCGGTGTTGTTAGGTTGTTTAGGGTCTTGTTCGAGGAGACAATGGGATATTAAAGAGTGTTACTGTTATTTAGCGTCATTATCAGGCAAAGGCATCCGTACTTTTCAGTTTACAACGAGATTGAGAGGACTGGTGAAGTTATCCGTAGAAGTTGGTATGCGATCCTGAAGGCAGCGCGACAGACAATCCTCATAACAGAACCGCTCGTTGTTGCATGGATTAAAGGGCTGTATGGCATCGAAAAACATGCTTGATCATTCACCAAAAACAATGCACTTCCCAATCAAACAGAGTCCAGAGCGTGGTCGCCATTCATTGCAGCATTGGTTGTGTATTAGGTGCCTCTGGTCGTCATCCATAGCGCAACTGCCAACGACCCTGTCAGCTCCCCACTCATGTCAACGCATGCCACCCCACGTTTATTATTAGCCACTTCAACCTCACACCTCCAGCCAGCACTCTACTACACAACACAAGTATATCTCTACGAATAAGTTGCCTTCAGTTTGTTCGTGAATTCCCTGCACATTCTCGCAATCATGGCTGAACGCACCCGCGGAGGCACGAACGGCGGCGTGACGCGCACTCGCAACACCACGAGCAGCGTCCGTCGCAACCTCTTTCAGAGCCAGTTGACCCGGCGACCTACCGCGAGCTCGTCCGCGTCGGCCGAGACGCTGCACCTCGACGTCGACGTGCTCTCCGACACGTCTGAGATTGTCGTTCGCGACAAGCATGGCGAGATCGAGCTTGGCGATCCGCCGACGCCAATTCTTGACGAGGACGATGAGCTGCCCATGGCTCATCGTCAGGAGACTGAGAGTGCGTACTTTTCCCGTCTGGGACCGTCTTGCGCGTTGATTGGAATTGGGGCTTACTTTTTTTCACGCAGAGGAGCGACAAAGATTGGCCGAGGCAGTGAAACACCATAGAATTCATCATAGTAGTGTTCCAGATCAGCCTGAAGGTATGTTGCCCATGCCCAGTTGATCGAGCCTTGACTGGTCACTAATAAGCCGTCTTAGAACTGCTCGACGCCGTAAAGGCGAGTCTCAGAGCAAAGGTTGCAGCCCTTGCCGAGGACAACTGGATGTTCGAACCCGAAGAACAGCCCCGCGGTTAACCCGGCATTCTACCTATGCAACGCCCGCTGTCCATGTTTTTCTCCAAGGTCAACTATGATATACAAACTCCCGACCAGCACGACAGTCAATTAATCCAGTCCCTCTGGTGCAGGGGCATCCAGGCCCCGCGTAACCGTTCTTCGCTGCTGTTGCGGCGCAGCAGGGGGAGCAGCTCCGCCAAACAAGCCGCTCATCATGTCCATCAAGGGGTTGCTCTTGCGAGGCTGCGTGATGCCAAAGTACATCTCGCCAATCATCTGGAGCGCATCGCCCCAGTTTTCAGCCTCATTGATCTGCGTCGCATACTTGGAGACGAGGCCCTTGTAGAGCTCGGGAGCTGCGCGCTGCACTGCCATGAGGAGGAAGCCGAGGAAGTTGAGGAGAGGCAGGCTGGGGAAGACGCGAATATCGCCACTCGAGGCCGACACGTCCTGGACGCCCAAGCCGGGGAAGTCGGCGCTCAATGTGCTGGTGAATAGACGGTAGCAAGTGTTGGCAGCGCGGACGTTTCCTATGAGGAGGTAGGGCAAGACGGCTCGACCGGCGAATAAGCCTGCCTCATGAGGCGAGCCCTCCTTGTACCATGTGTATTCCATCTTAGTCAATACCTCGGGCGAATCCTTGGTTCCCAACACTAGATGCCTCTCTGCCTCGTATGTGTCGTGTTCTTCGGCGTAAAGCGATCCTGCGACATGATGAAGTTCCGGGTCTCCAGCGGGATATTCTCCAAACTTTGCTGACCACCTGTCCCGAGCCTACGTCAGTGCCAACCCTTCCATACCTTGTTGTAGTAGAACCGCACTACTCACCCGACCATATCCGTTATAAACTTCTTTCTCGTATGCTCTTCGGGATTAAACAGTCGCAAGCACGTCAGCAGGCGGCCCTTGGAAGTGCCGTCGGGCTTAAGCTCTGCCTGGTTGTAGACGTCGACGAGCATGATGCAGAGGTCGCCGCCGCTGCCTCCTTGGCCGGCACGGAGCAGGGATTGCGCTACATTGGCGAGGATGTCGATAGCGGCGGGCCAGTTGGACGTCTTGATGTAGCGCGATGCAGCGACACGGGTTTGCTGCTGGGCTTCGTAGTAGTCGCCTTCGGTGATCTTGCTTTGCAGTCGAGCGACGATGCGTTCGACCTTGCTGGCCATGCTGGGCGAGTCGCGAGAGGCCGGCGGGTATCTAGGGTCAAAAGAGGGGAGAAGGGACGCTGGGAATCTGGCTGCTGAACTGGGGAGAGACGATTATACAAAACTGAACACGACGATGATGCAGCTGTCACAGGTCTGGTCGTTGGAGGGGTTGCTCTGAGCAAGGTCCTAGCTCTTGGGGGTACCCCACATGATGCCGCGCTAGACTCCACTTTAGAGTTTAGCCTTATAGTGTTAAACTTTGAGACTCCACTCCAGATTCAGCATGGCTTCGCTGCTAACAGCGTCGATGGTGTAGTGGTAACATACGAGCTTCCCATGCTTACGAATCATTTGATTCGGAAGTTGCTTGTGCCTCGGGTTCGATTCCCGGTCGTCGCATTTACATTTTTGCCCCTGATGCCTTTTTTCTTTTTCATTGCATTTTTTGGAAGATGTTGACTTTACGGTCTTGCGAGGCTGGGATGTATGTAGCCTACAAGTGGGATTCAATGCGGATGTTTTGAAGTTGATGATGCTTGGCTGTTGAGTTAAAATTGCTTGCCCAGCAGCCTACCTAGTTTTATGGCCTATTGCCCCCATTTTAACAAACGTGCCGATGAACGAAGTCTAAGGCTTGAATCTTCATAATACATTTCTCTCACAGTGAAATACAACAAACAATACTCAATTGAGTGGTAACTGGATCTTGGCGCTTACGTATCGTCGAGGTAACAAATTAAGGACTATAAATGCTCACTACTGAATCTTTCGGCTTCTTGCTCTGTTGTTATCAACAGGACAGCTCGAGCTGCTTTGATAATATCTGGTTCATACTCTTTATTTAACCTCCCGGCTGCTCGTGATTCAGTAACGCCTCAGCACAGAGAATTGTATTTCTTTAACTTTTATTCGACCGGATATGTGGCTCTAAACACAGCGGGCTCCGTCAACGAGAACCTCAATTCCGCTGATAATGGAGCTGGCAGGCTCAGCCAAGAAAAGAGCGACATTGGCGACATCAGAGGGCTCGACAAGACGGCCGATAGGGATGGCCTCGCACTTAGCCTTGATTATCTCAGCAGGGACAGGGCCGTCGGCAATGCCAGCAAACTTGTTCAGAAGAGGCGTGTTACCCGAGGTAGGGCAGATCGTATTGAACCGGAGCTGATCGCGGGCGAACTCGACGGCCATGGATTTAGTGGCCGACGAGACACCGGCCTTGGTGGCGTTGTACCAAGTCTGGGTGGCGCCAGGTCGGATGGCGTTCTCGCTGGAAATGACGATGGTCGAGCCAGGGCCGTTCTTCTTCATCTCGGGAATGAGAACCTTGGAGGCGAGGTAGATACTCTTGACGTTGACGTCAAAGAGGCGGTTGAACTCTTCGAGAGTGACGTCGATACCGGACTTATTAGGGTATGACCAGCCGGCGTTGTGGACGACGATAGAAGGAGCTGCTCCGAAGCGGGTCTTTGAAGTCTCGAGCTGGATAGGAAGGTAGGATACATGTTAGAAGTCGAAAGTGGTACAAGTCAAATGGTACCTCCACTTACAGCCTTCTGCCAGCTGGCCTCCTCAGCAACGTTGGCCTTGATCTGGTAGGCTTGCTTCTCGGCGTAGCCCTTGACTGGACCATCCTCGGCTTGGAGGTCCAGACCGAGCACTACGGCACCCTCACGGATGAAGGTCTCGAGGATACCCCGCCCGAAGCCCTGGGAAGAGCCAGAGATGAGGGCAATCTTTCCTTGAAGACGACCAGGCATGTTGATGGCGTGGTAAGTGAGAGTGGAATGGGTGTTCTGTGTGTTCCAATACTAGTGAGAGATAATTGATAATGCCTGACCTCTCCTCGAGACTGGCAAGGGTTCTTTATGCATTCCGGAGATCAAGAAAGTTGTTCCTCGACATAGGTAGTCTCTGTACTCGCGTCTCGGCCCGAGATTTGAAAGTGGAACCTCCGGCCGGTGCCCCTCTTGCCCCGGATTCAAGCCGAGATTCATCAGTCGCGCTTGCCTCACGTCGGCCCGTCGCTCGTCTTCCCCAGTCTTGAGTCTTGAGCCTCAAGCCTCGAGTCTCCCATGGCTCCGTCAACTACCACTCCGTCCAGCCTACATCGCGCACCCGTGTGAGTCTGTGTTGGTCGCGTGTCCGGCACGGCCTCTCCACCCGCTAACAGTGCTTCATCAGGGCATGTCTCAAGTGCCGGGCTGCAAAGGTCCGATGTCTGATCTCGCAACGGTCCGACCGATGCGACCGGTGCACTACGAACAAGACCGACTGTGTCTTTGCCCAACCGAAGAGGGCCAGAATCAGGGTTCATCCGCACTCCCGGCGTCTGAGACGGACGTCGCCTTCGCCGTCAACGGCCCGAGACAATGCTGCGGCACCCCAACCGCCAACTCCTGCCAGCTACGAGCCCCGTCGCCTGGCCCATAGCCAACAGCCCCTCATCACTCCCGAGATCCGAGCGAGGATTGTGGCTACCTTGGCTACTCTCAAGGGGAAGCGAGGCGCACCTTTCAGCTTCATCACATCAGGAGACAGGCTCGAAGAGTCGACAAACGTTGAGAACCACCAGCAACAGCCCTTTGAACACTCTCAGTCAACGGTGCCGTCGTTAAAGCTATCGTGGCTTCTACGTCCTCTCAAAGTCGGCGGTCGGACACATGCTGGTGACGATGTCCGCCAGCCGACCCCTTGGGTCAAGATGCCCAGCTATCTTGCCTCCATGACGCTTGGGCAGACCATTTCGGACCCAATCGAAGACGGTATACTCACTCAGACGGTTTCCGTTGCTCTGTTTCAACACTTTATGCTCGAGATGAATGCTAAGTGGGAGTATGTCCTGGACCCTTGCTTCGACACTCATGACGATGTCAGACGGCGAAGCCGACTTCTCTTTGCCACAGTTCTCTTCTGCTCCTCTAAGTTTGCCAGCTACCTCAATGGGAACCTCGTGCCGGCGACGGATCCCTTTCTTCAGAGCCGACTATGCAGCCTGGCGCGCAACTTAGCCATCAAGACATTCGCCCAAGGAGATAGATCGATCGAGACCATGCAGGCATTCTACTTGTTGGTCTGCTGGAAAGATGCAGATGACGACGTCTCGTACCTTCATAGCGGCTACGCCTTTCGCATTCTCCATGACCTGGACTTGGACCAATGCCACGGGGATAAACGGCAAACAGCAAGGCGTAGGCGTACATGGCTGGCATTATTCCGCCAAGATAAGCAGCAGAGCCTGTTCTTCATGAGACGAGCCACTCTAAGCCTTGGCGATGAGGACCCTTCTTTCGTCGGTTACCTCGACACCTGGCTGAAGATGCCGCACGCATTGCCTCAGGACTTTGTCGCCTGCTGCAGCGCCGACCTGAGGCGCATCCAAGCCAAGCTACGTGTCATGGTTCACAAGGCGTCCTCTGCCATGCTGCCGTGTCTCCTGGAGCTCATGGATTCGGAACTGAGTAGGTGGAAGTCGATGTGGGAGACTCACTTTGGAGGGATAGGGAGACTGCACCCAGATGATGTGTCCCTGGATCGTCGGTTGCTGCACCCTGGTAAAAGCCATCTTAGAACGCTTATGGGACTCTGGGATAGTAGTGTCCGGCTCAATGTTGCCTCTGCAATCCTTCGACAGGCACTGATTGCGTCGGTGACGTCGTCCCTTCGTGCCAATGGTCAGTCGCCGCCCTCGACATTCAGGCTTGATCTACCTGGCATCCCAGCCATAGAAGAGGTTCTATCTCCAGATGTACCCGGACTTAGCAGCAGCGTTGAAGGCGGGTTTGGGACACTGCGTTCTTTGCTCGCTTTTCCTGTCGAGGACCTGAGACGAGCTCCTGATTCTACTCTCCTGTTGGGTCCGAATGCCGCGCTCTTCTTGTGTCTGCTGCTCTGTCTTCCCTGCAACGGAGTCATTGGCCCGGCGTTCCAGAGGACGGCGGTGAGCCTCATCCAAGAGGTTGCTCGACATGTAGGCCAAGCAGTGCAGTCGCCACAGGACACGGTGAGCCTGCACTCGGCACATCTTGACTCACTGGTTAACCTTCTGGGACCGGCGACACCACAGTGGCCGCCCAACTCTCATGAGATGATGGGGTCATTGTCAACATTTGATCTGCCGCAGTCACACATGGACGCAAGTGACTTGCACATCGATGAGACGGCACTAGAAGCCGCTCAGGTGTTGGCGGGTGGAATGGGCGGGCTTCAGTGCAATGTGGACGACAACGATGCCATGTTTAATCTTGGAAGCGAGCCTGAGCAGATGTTGCACATGCAGAGTCTAGCTAATTTGCTGGACACGAGCTTCTTTTCAGAGATGGAGCCCTTATCTGTGGAAGTGAATGGTGACGCTGAGCCGTAGTTGACTGGACGTTCTTCGGGTTTAATGCATACCTACCTACCAACCTAGGTAACTATCTGTCTGTGAGGCTCTACTATTACACACTTGATGAAACCTTTACATTGCGTCGATATCTATACCGAGCCATCGCCGCAGGAAAAGGCTGCCGCTCACTGACCCCGACTCCGTAACTACTCTGGTCTTTACCACGAGGCTGCTCTCGGTCCGAGGTATTCCCCACGCCAAGCCCCGCGATGTATTTTCGAAGGCTTCCGAGTGGCAATGTCGAGGAGAATGGACTCCTTGTCGGCGGTTCCAAGGAGTGAAGGTATGTCAGCAGCAGATAGCTTTGGGGTTTGAAGGCGGGCGGGCGTGAGGCTCCATTCCGTCACCTTGGGCATGGCCACGCACTTGAAGTAAAGAAGATGGGAGCTATGCCGGGAAGAAGTACTGCGAGGATGGCAAAACTTTGAATGCCTGTCGGTAGAAACAGCCCCTGTCCAAGCCGTTGGCTCAGCGAGTCGGTGAGAATTGGGTAGCTTCCCGGGCCGAGATATAAAGAAAGACCATGGCAGCTCTCATTCTTGACCTTTATTCAATCATTCCATATCTTTATCTTCAACTGGCCAAAATGTTGTTCATGGCAAGACAACGAGTTTGCCTGGCGGCGAGGCGATTCCCGAGTGCGATTGCCCAGCGCACCATTCGATCAACTTCATCAACGTCAACGTCGACATCAGCGGCATCTTCGGCCATTCTGAGGCATGTCGCGTTCAAGGACAGGAGGGTTGTCTACGCCGCAGGAGGTACCACTGTCGCTATTATTGGACTGCTGTTAGTGAAGAGAGATGGAGAGACATATCCCGACGATCCTCGAGATGTGAAGGCGTTGTCGACGGTTCCTTTTGGGAAGCTTCTTTCTGGCTGGACGTAAGCTTGAACTCGTTGAAGTAATGGCCTGCTTCTTGACTGACGGTGCTTTCACAGTGCCTTTGCATTCTGCTCCTCGCCGACTTGGGTAGACATGAGCGAGGCTCTCTACAACATCGTTTCTGAG